TATATATATATATATATATATATATATATATATATATATGGAAGATGCTACGGTGAGCCCACTAGCTCACAGGAAACAATGAAACCCAATAACTTATATTGAATTTGGGCCGATCTGATGATCACCGATGTATGAAAGTATTTGAATTTTAATTTTTTTTCTACATATCTAAATCACTTAAAAATTTGTAACGTGTATACATAAAAAATAGGTGAATCTTTGAAAAATGTCAAAAAAATATTTTATATGAAATAAATTGACCAAAATACCCCGAAAACGTTTTGGGGGTATTTTGGTCAAATTGTTTACGAATTATTTTTTTATATATTTTTATTAGGTGCAGCTTGATGAGAAGAATATACGTCCAAAATTTCAAGAGATTTGGATTTGTAGACAAACAATTAAAATTCAAAAACTACCAAACATATCGTCAGATTGACTTAGATTCAATTTGGGTCATTGGGCTTCAATTTTTGCTTTTTATTTGATTGTTAATTAGAATGAAAAGAGTGTATATTTCAAAATTTGGATCAAACAAATCGTCCTAAGATGGTTTTTTAAGGTTGTTACATGATATTACTATCCAACGGTTGCATGAAATCATTGCCCATACTCATATGGTCATTTATTATACATACAAGTTTGTATACACGTCACCATGTCATTGTAATATAATGAAACCACACTTTTAAAAAGCACTTAAAACTCCAAATTTTGCACACACTTTATTCAATTCGCGCCTTATATATATGGTCAAAATAAGTTCCCTCTAACAAATGAATCTAGATCATCCATTTGGTTAATTTCAAGATCTTGGATTTCATGAATTCAAAATCTATTTTTTGTTTTTTTAACATTGTTAATCTAATGATCGTAAAGCTATCTAAAAAATTTGAAAGCAAAAAAATCCTTTTAAGGCATATAAGCTATTTAAGCATCGCACTAAAATGTAAGAAAGTTTTTCAAATTTTGCTTATTTGTTCATTAGAATGAAAAGAGTGTACATTTAAAATTTTGGGTCAAATAAATAGTCCTAATATGGTTTTTATGGTTTTTGAATATTATTTCATTATACAACCGTTGCATGAAATCACTCCCCTATATGATCATATGCATCAGTGTATATATACTTGTGCATATCAGTGTATATGGCCTATATATATATGTACTTGGGCATATCAATGTATAATTGATAAATAAGTGTATATATTGTCATATACATTATTGTATAAATGTATGCATTAGTTATATATCGTGTAACAGTACATATATATGCACATATCAGAGTATATATACATTGACAATTGTATATATAACTAACAGCAAGTGTGTATACTCACACAGAGAGACATATCAGTATATACATATCATGTACATACACTACACATATCAATATGTAGTGTATAAATAAGTGTACATATATGCTAAAACTGCTAATAACTGTATATATATAAACATTTTATATATGCACTTATCACCGCGGCGCGTTGCATGTGTGTGTGATATATATATATATATATATATATATGTAAACTGCTAGCAAGTGTATGCACACACATATCAGTATATACACATCAGTATCTACACACATACACATATATCAGTGTATTTTACACACTAAAAACTGATAACTAATGTATTGGTATGGTCTTATACATCAGTGCATATACCATTGAAAACAAGTGTATATATTGCTATCAGTGTATATATGCGCTAATAGCTGTATATGTCATTGATAATAAGTACATACATGGTCATAAACATTAGTGTATGTGACTATATATATCAGCATATGCGTGTGCAAGTGAGTGTGCATATGAATGTATATACATATGTATACACTGTGCTATACACCTACAAGTATATACACATCAGTACACACGCATATACACTTTATATATATCAGAATATGAGTGTGCATATATCAGTATAGATTGCTATCAATGTATATATGTGCTAATAATTGTATATGTCGTCATATACATTAGTGTATGTGTATGTGATTGTATATATCAGCATATGAGTGAGCGTATATACACATACTTTTATATATATTAGAATATGAGTGTGCGTATATATTTTTTAGTTTTTTATGCACTAAAAACTGTATATACACACACACATATTAGTGTGTGTGTGTGTATATACACACACATATATCAGTGTATTTCTACACAATATACAGCAGTATATACACATCAATACACACACAAACACACATATACACTTTATATATATCAGAATATGAGTGTGCACAAACATAATATACACACATCACTGTATTTTTTACACACTAAAAACTGTATCTATAACAGTACATATATACACACACATATTAGTGTATATCTACATTACAAAATTATATTTATTGATATGGTCATATACACTGAAAACAACTGTATGTATTGCTATATATCGATGTG